AGGCAACCTACGGAAGGGGAGAAGATATTTGCAAATGACATTATCAGATAAAGGGTTAATATCCAAAATTTTTAAAGAACTTATCAAACTCTATACCCAAAACGCAAATAATCCAGTGAAAAAGGGGGCAAAAGACATGAATAGACATTTCTCTAACGGAGACATCCAGATGGCCAATGAAAAAATGCTCAACATCACTCATCATCAGAGAAATACAAATCAAAACCACAATGAGATACCACCTCACACCTGTCAGAATGGCTAACATTAACAACTCAGGCAACAACAGATGTTGGCAAGGACGCAGAAAAAGAGGATCTCTTTTGCACTCTTGGTAGGAATGCAAACTGGTGCAGCCAGTCTGGAAAATAGTATGGAGATTCCTCAAAAAATTAAAAATAGAACTGCCCTACAACCCAGCAATTGCACTACTAGGTATTTATCCAGGGGAAACAGATGTGCTGTTTCGAAGGGGAACATGTACCACAATGTTTATAGCGACACTATCAACATTAGCGAAAGTATGGAAAGAGCTCAAATGTCCATCAACAAATGAATGGATAATTAAGATGTGGTATATGTATACAATGGAGTATTACTCAGCAATCAAAAAGAATGAAATCTTGCCATTTGCAACTATGTGGATGGAACTAGGGGGTATTCTGCTAAGCGAGATTAGTCAGTCAGAGAAAGACAAATATATGGCTTCACTCATATGAGGGCTTTAAGATATAAAACAGATGAACATAAGGAAAGGGAAGCAAAATAATATAAAAACAGGGAGGGGGACAAAACATAAGAGGCTCTTAAATATGGAGAACAAACAGAGGGTTACTAGAGGGGCTGTGGGAGGGGGGATGGGCTAAATGGGTAAGGGGCATTAAGGAATCTACTCTTAAAATCACTGTTGCACTATATGCTAACTAACTTGGATATAAATTTAAAAAAATAAATTTAAAAAAAGTGAATACTCAACTTGTCCATGATTATAGACAGGAACAGAGCTCAAGGTAAGGAAAGACATATAATCCTACAAACAATTTAGCTTTGTTTTTAAATTCTTAAGTTGTTGTGTGTGTAAGTGAATTTTCACACTTATACATAGAAGATACATATCAAGTTCAACCATATGAAACTGCTATTTTCATGGGGTCAAAAATTGTCAACTATTATTAATTACGTATGTTTCAACCTAACTAAGAACTTTAGCAGTACTGTTTGAAGAGCAAAACCATTGTACATTACCCAAATGTCCACCAACTGTAAAATGAGAAAATTGTGAGCACCTACATTTCATAAGGTGCAAAGGAAGCAAAACTGAATAATTTATTTTTTAAAGATATAGTCATATAAGGGAAATCTTTTTTTTTTAAAGAAAAGGGATCTTATGCAGAAAGTCAGGGATAATGATAGAGATAATGTTTTATTTCTTAAATTGGGTGGTTGACACATTGGTGCATACTGAATTAATTTTCTTAATAACTGACACATATTTTCTAAATATTACTCAGTATTTACACAAATTAATAATAACCATACCAAAGAATTAATGCATGTTCCTATGTGTAGGAGTATGTATTGGTACCATGATTTTAGAGGGGTACTAGTGTCTATTAAAATAAAATATAATGATGGGCACCTGGGTGGCTCAGTTGGTTAAGCATCTGACTTTGGCTCAGGCTGTGATCTCTCAGTTCGGCTCCTGTGTTCCAGCCCCACATTGCTCTATGAGGACAGCTCGGAGCCTGGAATCTGCTTTGGATTCTGTCTCCGTCTCTTTCTGTCCCTCCCCCACTTACACAGGTGTGCTCTCTCTCTCTCTCTTTCTCTCTCTCTCAAAAATAAATAAACATTTAAAAAACAAAATAAAATATGACTGTAATAGATTTTCTCTATGTCGAATAAAGTTTAGATTAAACTTACTTTGCTTACTAGAATCTTAAGAAGCCCAACTCAGATTTCTGATTCCTCTGAAACACTCCACGGACTCCCTGCCCACACACTGTACTTCACCCATCTGTCTCCTTCTGCCCTAAACCACTCCACACCCACCAACCCACCCTTCAACCCCCCACTTCCTCCTTCAGTCACATCTGCTGTAGGCTCTCTCATCAACATGCACCCAAAACATAAAACCATTTTTCTAAGGTCAGAAACTAGACAAGATTTTTATTATTGTTCCTGCCATAAAACTTGCAGCATTAATATCTACTGTTCACAATAAGAACTTACAAAATGCAACAAAGATTATTTGCTTTCCCTTATCGCCCTCTGCCCCCACACCCCCGAAAACGTCAGAAACATTTTGCTGTGTCAACAGCTTATTTTTGTTTCACTGGAATGAGACCTGCCCACACTGTTTCCCAGATGAAGTTTTGGAATGGTTATGTTAATTACATAGTAACACCAGTGCAGCCATGGAATTTACTGGAAAGTCAAGTCAGATGTTTTCTCTCTCAGGAATTAATGGAATGAAAGTTCTTACTATGAAAATCATTTTCCATTCTTGGGATTTAGATGAGATGAACAGTGACTGGAACAGGATTACTAAGGGCTAGCTTGTTTGAAAATTTGTAGCAATTCTTATTAACAACCTGCCTGAAACTTCCTCAATGATATAGACTATCCTGCCAGCAGTAGAATTCTTCTTGGAATATTTAGCAGTTTTGACTTAGAATTTATGCTGTATCTGTGAAACAGTTGATTCATTTTCAAATGATAAGAAATAAGTGAAATAATCATGAAAAATTGAATTCAATTATTTTACCTTTTTGTTTTACATTTTTTAAATCTTTATTTATTTTTGAGAGAGAGACAGAGTATGAGCAGGGGAGGGTCAGAGAGAGAAGGAGACACAGAATCTGAAGCAGGCTCCAGGCTCTGAGCTGTCAGCACAGAGCCCAATGCAGGGCTCGAACCCACAGACTGTGAGATTGTGACCTGAGCCGAAGTCAGACACTTAACCAACTGAGCCACCCAGCCACCCCTATTTTACCTTTCTAAGGCCTGAATTTTATGGTGGTTTACTAACTGTGTAAGTGGTAAATTCAGATAACTGCATAATGTCAGAGAGGCATTGATCCAGTTACCACAGTTTTATCCCTAAGGCATCATTTGGTCAAACTGTCTTTTGCCTTCTTAAGATTTCTGAGATGTAAAAAAAAAAAAAAAAGGATGTAAAACTAATTGTTTTCATTGAACTCTAAAATTGTAGTTGATTCATTTTGCTTTGCCTTTTTTGTTAGAATGGGAACATATGCTTTTTAAAGAAAAAAAAATGAAACTGATATAACACTGTATGTTAACTATACTTGAATTAAAATAAAATAAAAATAAAAGGAAAAAAGTTGAGAAGAATGTCAGAAAATCTAGTCATAATCTCACCCTGTTTGCAGCTAGCTTTTCAAGTGGAGAACAGATTTAAAAGTTTCTTACACGGGCGCATGGGTGGCCCTGTCGGTTGACTGTCTGACTTTGGCTTACGAGTTGGATGCCCACGTTGGGCTCTCTGCTGTCAGCCTAGAGCTTGCTTGGGATCCTCTGTCCCCCCTCTCTCTCCACCCCACCCTCACTCATGTGCAGGTGCTCTCTCTCTCTCAAAAAAAAAAAATCATTTAAAAATAAATAAAAAATAAATAAAAATTTCTTACTTTGTCTATTGTGTTTTAGTGTTTAGCTTTCAAATTCCAAGGCACTAATAATCATGGGTCTGGTTCAGTAGATTTACATGTTTATTTGAATGCTATTCTAAGAAAAGCCTATTGACGTTTAATTCATTTTTTTATTAGATTCTATTTTATTTAGGAAAAGGGAGAGGAGTAGGAAAATCATTCTCTTCAGGAAAAGTGGTACAGAACTCTAAACCCACTTTTATTTTTTATTTTTTTTACAAATAGTTTATGGTCAAATTAGTTTCCACATAACACCCAGTGCTCATCCCCACAAGTGCCCTCCTCCATGCCCATCCCCCCCCCCCCCACCCATCAGTCCTCAGTTTTTGTCAGCATTCAAGAGTCTCTCATGGTTTGCCTCTCTCCCTCTCCTCCACCATTTCCCCCCTTCTTCTCCCCCTTGTTTCTCAGTTAAGTTCCTCCTAATCCTCCTATACGTGCAAACATATGATATTTGTCCTTCTCTGCCTGACTTATTTCGCTCAGCATAACACCCTCAAGTAAACCCACTTTTAAAATACGTTTTCTGAAAGGCACAGTTCACACCCCACTGAATGTGTTAGCTGCATTTCCTTTAACATGTTGACCACTGGGTCGCCCTGCCTGTCCCCACACCCAGGCATCATAAACACTGCCCTCCAGGAGCCATGCTGATCACGAGAAGGAGTGAGGTGCGTGCGGGGGACTGTGATGAATTGCTGAGCACCACTCAGGTTGCTGTTTTGCTAGAACGAAGAACCAAGCAAGTGTTGCCCAGACTCTCCAATTTATAAGAGGAAGTCAGAGTTTCAGGTGAAATCTCTCGTTTTTAAATGATTACAGCTAAACAATTTCCAAAACATTTTCAAGAACCTGTGTGAGCCAAGCAGAACGTGTCCACGGGACTGTGGATCACCTCCTGGGAACTTCCCTTCATACAGTGAAAAACAGGGTTTCAGTGCCGTCCGATTGAGTTTCTCTTTCGTCCGTCCTTCCTTCCTTCCTTCCTTCCTTCCTTCCTTCCTTCCTTCCTTCCTTCCTTCCTTCCTTCCTTTTAACATTTGTTTATTATTATTGAGAAACAGAGAGAGACAGAGCATGAGCAGGGGAGGGGCAGAGAGAGGGGGAGACAGAATCTGAAGCAGGCTCTAGGCTCTGAGCTGTCAGCACAGAGCTTGACAAGGGGCTGAACCCATGTGCCATGAGATCATGACCTGAGCTGAAGTCAGATGCTCAACTGACTGAGCCACCCAGGCGCCCCATGGGTTTCTCTTTCTTACAGAAAAGGGGTAAACTTTAATGTATCTCCCTTTCGTGTTTGTTGACATTTCCTTCTTTCCCTTTTTCCAGGCTACACGCTGTCTCTAGTCTGTGCAAACTCCGCCCAGGCCTGGTGTGAGATCACAAATGTGTCCCAGCTGCTGGCTTCTCCTGTCTTCTACAGGGACCTGAACGCCAGCTACAGGGACATGAATTCCAGCATAAGCGACTTGATCATTTCTGCAAACGTAGAAAACAAATACAGTCTGTACGTAGGCCTGGCGCTGGCAGTAAGTTCCAGTATTTTTATTGGCTCCAGCTTCATACTGAAAAAGAAGGGCCTCTTGCAGCTGGCCAAGAAGGGCGTTACCAGAGCCGGTAAGAAATGGATGCAACTAGCAAATTTGAGTCTCTGCAGCAACTGCAGAAAGAATCCTATTGTAAGACCCTAGTGCCATAGTAGTAATATTTTATTGTCTCTTAGTCCCTGTCTGAGTTTAGCACATCTCCTCTGCAGCGCCCAGGATTGAGCTACCTGTGTCTCCTTTAGGGTGCAACAAAAATTCTTGTTTCAGAGGGATGAGTTCTTCTTTCATAGCTGTTGTGTGTGATTTCAGTGGTCAAGGTCAGATGCTGCTTCCCTGCTTAAAACACGTCAGTAGCCTTTCTTTGCACTCAGAATAAAATCCAGACACCTTTCCGCAGTCTCTGACCTCCTGTGTAAACTGGCCCTGGCAACCTCTCCAGCTTATATATTCTGCTGTCTTCCCTGTCATTTACTTTTCTCTGATTCCTGGAACAGACCAAGTTCTTTGCCATCTCAAGGCCTTTTCCTTTTGCTTGGAACCCTCTTCTCCCTGCCCTTCATTTGGCTGACTCATCCTTCAGACTTCAGCCTAAATATCATCACCTTCCCTGGCCTTCCTCTCTGGGAGATGTCCCTTTCCATCCCAACCCTGCCCTGTTACTGTCTATCATTGCACTAAAGGTTTCCTTCATTGTATCTAGAAAGTCTGTCATTGTACATTTATTGTTCATTTACTTGTTTATTGATAGCAGATTCATAAGAGCAGGAACCTTCCCCAGCATAGCATTTGGCAGCCCAGTAAGTATGTGTTAAATGAATAAATGGATAGCAGAACAAAGTTGCTGTTATCACAGTGATATTTCACATGTTGAGTAACTCAGCTTGACTACCCTCCATTAACCATGAATTTCTATTCTTTCTTATCAAGAATATCATAGAAGAGCTAAATATTACTCTAAGGTTTATATGAAAAAGTGACTACAAATTACACAAACAAGTTCACGAAAGTACTATTGGAGGAGATTTGCACTATCAGAAATAAAATATACTATAATGCTATAGAAATTAAAACAGTTTGGTACTGGCACTAAAAAAGATAGATAAAAAATGAAAGAGAATTGAAAACTTATCAAGGTACCCAAGTACTTGTAACAAATGAATGTACGATTTTTTAAAGTGGCATTTCAATTCACTGGAGAAAAGATGGATTATTCAGTCAAAAGTGTTAATGGGGCACCTGGGTGGCTCAGTAGATTAAGCACACGACTCATGATTTCAGCTCAGGTCATGATCTCATGGTTCGTGAGACTGAGCCTCGCATCAGGCTCTGTGCTGACAGCACGCAGAGCCTGCTTGGGATTCTCTCTCTCCCTCTCTCTTTGCCCCACCCTAGCTTGCATGAGGGTGGGCACACGTGCTCTCTCTCTCTCTCTCTCTCAAAGCAAACATACTTTAAAAAGCGTTAAGACAATCAGCAAAAATTACAGGAGAAAAATGTAAGAGTTCTACTTCATACCATTCAGCAATTTAAAATGAAATGATTTTTTCAAAATCCTAAAAGGTCTTTCTAACTGTACAGATAAACGAAGAAGCTATTCTATATGAAGGAAGAGATTATCTAAATTGATTTGAAAAAAAAAAATCCTACATGGAAACATCTAACTGAAACTAAAGAGCAAATGACACGGTGGGGGGTGGAGGTGGGCATGCTTCCAAAATATATGACAGACAAAGGATATTAAGATCCACAATATATATAGTGACTATAGTTGATAAGAAAAAGATTAGTAGTGGCCTAAGGCAAAATAGGCAAAGTACATAAATAAGAAGCTCACAAAACAAGAAATGCAAGTGGCCAATAATCAGGTAGAAGTAAATGTTATTTCACTAGTACCTAGAGAGATACCAACTATGTACAATGAGCTCCTGGGTTGTTTTCTACCATTTTAACCAGGTTTTGTTTTTTCTTGCAAAGGCCTTGTGTTGGTAAGGGATTTTGGAAAATAAATAGCCCTCCCAAACATTGCTGGAGGCAGCATATAGCATAAATGGGTACAAACTTTCCTAAGAACAGTTTGGTAAAGCTCAAAAATGTTACTGTTTTGGGGCTCCCAGGTGGCTCAGTCAGTTAAACGTTGGACTTCGGCTCAGGTCATGATCTTGTGGTTCGTGGGTTCAAGCCCCACGTCAGGCTCTGTGCTGACAGCTATCTCAGAGCCTGGAGCCTGCTTCAGATTTTGTGTCTCCCTCTCTCTCTGATCCTCCCCTGCTCACACTGTCTCTCTCCATCTCTCAGAAATAAATAAAACATTTTAAAAAATGTTACTGTCTTAAAACATAATAATTTCACTTCTGGAAATTTATCTTAAGAGGTGAACAAGAATGCCACCTATATTTACATACCAGGATATTTATTTAAAGGTTTTATGTAATGAGAACAAAACTAGAAACTCTGTGTGTGTGTGTGTGTGTGTGTGTTGCACACAGGTTAAGTAAATAATGATATGCCAGATTTTGAAATAATATTAAGCCATTAATTAATATTGTGATATATTGTTTGAGAAAAATATTTGTGATACATTATTAAATTTTTAAAAGACAGATTATTAAATTATAATATTCCAATTTAATCATTTGCACATTTTATAAGAAGAAAATCCTAAATAAATAACTACCTTGCAAGATAATCTTCACAGCTAATATACCCTGTTTGTTTCATTATAACAAAATCAGGTCAAAGACACAGGATTAAGTATATTGAATAGGTGAGAAAATTCCATTTTCTATAGCAAAGATAGCAATGACTTTAGGTCACAGATTACAGTAAAGAAAAGATAACTCTGAATATCTCAGGAAAGCTTTTTGTCCTTTTCAGTAGACTAGAGAGAAACTCAATTTCATGATGCCAAGGTAGAGAATAGGAGAGGCCTACTGACTAATGCTTGCTGTTCTCTGGCTGACTATCCAAAATTTCAAAAGCTTGTCTGTCAACCGTCTTCTTCCCTTCAAGGTCCTCATTAGGTACCGATGTAACTTACAATATATATTTTCTGTCTTTAATTTTAACTGTGGGTGAAGCAAAGTACTTAGAGGTTATAATAGTCTGTGTCCATACCTCTGGCTGGCATAAATACACTACCCTAATGATTAAATAAAATTTTCTTGCAAATGAAAAAGCTTACTTTCTATAAAAATCAAAAGTGACATAATCGAAAGCCTAGAAGATCTTCAGAAATGACTAAGTAAATAAGCTAAAGACTAGCTGGACTGAGTTGGCTTTACATCTCGCCTCTTCCAATCATATTCCATTACTCTTCCTAGCAGTCGGTTCTTCCGATCTTCTTCCTCCAGTTCAGAAACTCATTTTAATTGTTCTTATTTTTCTAGGACAAGGTGGACATTCTTACCTCAAGGAATGGCTCTGGTGGGCAGGATTACTCTCAAGTAAGTCTTTACTGCTGAAAATAGTGCATGCTTGTAAAATGATAAATAAATTACATGGGGTTGCTCAAAATTGATTAATTTATCTTCTTGGTAAGGATGGCATTAAAGTTTAGACACTTTCGTGCAGGTATAATATATTGTCTTACATACAAAGTCACATGTTTAAAATTAATGTTTCCTCTTCTCTCCCTGTACCCCCATGTTCTCAATCCTGTCTTAGAATGCAAGGAAAAAAGTTAACATCTGAAGTACTGTTATCTTATCACGAAGTTCCCTTTTTGTTATATTTTATCTCCCAGAACATCGCAGAAAACATCCTCTTCCCACATTTCCCTGCTCCTGATTTGAATCTGTGACTATTCTAGCTGCATGTTTACTAAGGAATGGGTGCGTTTCACTGGCCAGCACCAAAACAGGGGCTAATTAAAGTCCCGTCGGGCTGCTTAGCACAGAAGAAATGGAGAGAAGATGGAAGCTGTCAGCACTCTCCTCCTCCCAGACTTGCCCTGAGGAGCACAAGAGACTGCTGGATGGGAAAGCACTTTAGAAATGCTCATATGCTGTGCAAATAGAAGGCAGTGTTCATGTGCTCACAGGCGCTTTTGCAGATTTCTATCTCCTCCCCTAACTCCTCTGAAATCCCAGACCTAAGACTTACAAAGATAGGAGCTTATAAACTGTAGTTTCACACCTCCTGCTAGTCATCTTCCTCTGCAGCAAGTAGACTGAAAACTTCCATTTGTTTTCTCACACCAACTAACACATTTCAGTACTTGTGTGGTCCTCCTATGCAAAGGAATTGGATAACTTTTCTTCAGTGTTAGAATCTAAAAGAATGATAATCATTTAAATGTGATTAAATTTAAAAGTTAATTAAGTTAATTACAGTTGTTAAGGTGTTTTCTGTTTTCTTACTTCTTTTGAATTAAAGTTGGCCAGGATGTACTGGGGAGATTTCAGATAGAGATTTGGATGATTTTTTTGTGCTTTTCTCTCTCTTCTACTCGTCTCCCCACCCCTCTACCCGCACAGCAGGATGAAGATATAAGGAGAATAGTATATGCCTACATTTACAATTTTGTTCTCATCATGTACCAAGTTCATGCTAGTATTGAAGACAGAAAAGCAGAAGTCTACAACATTAGAGATTTTATCTCCTGACAAACACATAGCACTTCAATCATGAAATTAATATTTTCCCAGAAAGCTGTCTGGAAGAGATACAAATATAAATAATATCAAGTATTCAAGAAAGCTTAATATTTGAAGAAAACTGCCATGGCTCTTCTTAGAAGAGCAGTCTCCTAATTGCTCTGTTCTGGAAGTTTCTATGTGTTTTATGGTATTTCCCTCAAGCTGAGTACTCCTGCAGATTTGGCTGGGGTGTAGAGGGGAAGGCTGGGAACACAGCAGCCAGATGGAAAAAGAAAAAGTATTCTGGTGTCGTTTATCTGTTCCAGAAGCTCTCTCTACAATATAAGTGTTTTCTTGGGCTGGTTTGCCCTTGTGAAATACTGCCCATTCACTTGGGACCCATAAGAATACTTTGGCTCCGAGACAAGAGTGTAGTTCTTAGAGGGATTTTCCCTCACCATAGAAATCGTTTCACAGAGGTCTAGACTTCCTTGGATGAGAGAAAGATGGCAGGAGCACATCCTTATGACTTTAAAACAGCCCTCTGCCTCTCCTCGAGCTTTAAGATCCTGTTAAAGTGCTTTAGGATCTTGTGCGATTCAGAGACAGATGCCTGGCGACCTAGGACAGTGGTAGGCGTTTCTGGCTATGCCCTGCCCGGTAAGCAGATCTCTGCAAAGCACGCTAATTTGCCACTCTGCCTTTTGTTAATTTGCATAACAGTAGGTATTCTTGAGCAAATAGAAAAATTCTTTGCTTAGGTTAAAGCTGCCTCTAATTAGACTTTTATCAGAGTGGCCAAATATGTTTTTGGTAGTGATGTAACTAAAGTCTCTATTGGAAGTCACTTAAAATGTGTATTCATCTGTTACCACTTTTATTTTTGGCCTTAATTGAGTTCCTATCACCAGGTAATTATAGTTTATCTGCATCCCTTAATACCAATCCTACCCCCAAGCTCCATTAAAAAAGTTTAATTGTTCCTTTTACTAGATCTGTTAGTATCCTTGGCATAAAGTCTACCATTTTGCTTGTGTCCTTGGTTTTTCTCTTCTGACAAGTAAATCCATCTCTCACGTGAATACTATGGCTTGTTTTCCAGTGGGAGCCGGAGAAGCGGCAAATTTTGCAGCTTATGCTTTTGCACCGGCCACCTTGGTCACCCCGCTGGGTGCTCTGAGTGTGCTCGTAAGGTATGTGAGAAATGAACTTGGCTTCTGTGGAGATGTCAATACCATGATGAGCTTAAACCACAAGAAATATATTGCTAAGCATATTTCCAGACAAAATATCACACAACTAATTTGAGAAGACACAATCAAGAGTAGTAGAAATGAGAAATAAGTTATGTTATTGTTGTTATTTAGAAAAATATGAGGGGGTCCTAATTTCCTGCTAACATAAAATAATCACGTGTTATGTTTGCATTTATTCAATGAAGCCTACGGGATTTTTTTCTCTCTCACCTGAACACATTGCCACAGCCCTTTTCAGCCTTTCTGTTGTCATAGTGACTAATGACCACAGTTATCAGAGGGTTTAAAAACATAGTGTTTGGGTTAAACTTCAACTCTCACCTAAAGTCTTGCATTATTTGCTGGATAGTTCTGTTCAGAGACCTCTGAGTTTTTTAGTCATGGAAACAGGAGTCATTTTTATGTTCATAGAATGTGCATCTCATCTTTCTGAGTTGGTCTTTATTAGGATCCCAAATGAATGTGCTCAATGGACATGTGAACTCTTACAGTTAAGCAACTGTTTTGTTGTGCTTTTCTGTTCCTTTTATCTATCCATCCCTAGTAAAAAGCTTATGGCTAGGCCTACCCACTTCTTTTTACCTTCTTCATAGCATTGCTGTGAGAAGTAAATGAGTCAGCACACAGAGAGCACTAGAACACTGTCTGTGCAAGGAGTGATAATCCGTAGTTACTGATTTGAGCTTTTTTGAGCACAGATATCCTAAGTGTATCAAGCCAGTAAGATATAAAAGATCTTCCATTTTGTTTGGCATTATAGAAGATGGGGAAATTGAAAATGACCTCTCATGGGACGATTACAGGGATATAGAATGTCTGTGAAAATTCTTTAGATGCTAAAGCAATTCAGCAGATTTGACCATCATTTCTGAGTTTTAAAGCTAATCGGGTTTTTCAGCGGCATGTAGCATATTCAGATCAGTCGATTGTAGACAGGGATACAGGATGGCACATACTACAGCGAGACTTCTGAGCTGCTATGGGATCAAAAGCTAATTGAATGAGCGATTTTGTTTTTCTTCTCCCAACAGTGCAATATTGTCTTCCTATTTTTTAAATGAGCATCTGAACATTCATGGTAAAATGGGCTGCATTTTAAGTATATTGGGGTCAACTGTGATGGTTATCCATGCCCCGCAAGAAGAGGAAGTCACTTCTTTGCATGAAATGGAAATGAAATTGAGAGACCCAGGTCTGTGATTCAACCAAAAGAAACCCTTACTCAGATTCTGTTCCATTTTCTCTCCTCATCAAATGACTCTGTGCTAATTCTGTAAAAAGCTGTAAGCCTCACGGTGGGTTGTGAGATACAGTAAGGTTTGACTGTATCACAAGTCTTCTATACAGGTGACCCAACTTATTGTTCTGTCCATGCTTCCTCTCTGTACGTGAAAGGAAGAGATGGGGATAGGAGAGGCAAAAGGCATGTGTTCCAACCCCAATTGTGGCTACTTTTCCTCTCTGAAAATAAAGAGTCACTCAGACGATAGCTACCATACCTCATAGTGTTAGCTATGAAATTGAAAAGATACGTTTGTGAGAGTCCACTGTAAAATGTTGAGAGCCATGCTAGTAAAATGTTGTTTTGGTTTTGTTATTTTAATCTAATCTCACTTCCCTTTCTGAAACAACTGTGCTCCTAAACTCTTGACTAACAACATTTCATAAAGATATGATCTTGTCAGCATTTTCTGAATTCTAATTCTTTTTTCTTCCACACAGGATTTATTTCCTTTGCCGTGATCATAACAGTGATCTCGTTGGTGCTGATATTGATCGTGGCTCCCAGGAAGGGACAGACCAATATATTGGTCTACATTTCAATCTGTTCCTTGATTGGAGCATTTTCAGTGTCCTCTGTCAAGGGCCTGGGAATTGCCATTAAGGAACTATTGGAATGGAAGCCAGTTTATAGGCATCCACTGGTCTTTGTTTTGTTGGGTGTACTTGTGCTTTCAGTGACGACACAGATTAACTATCTCAACAAGGCACTGGACACCTTTAACACATCTCTCGTGACTCCCATTTATTATGTGTTCTTCACATCCATGGTAGTAACTTGCTCCGCCATCTTATTCCAAGAATGGTATGGCATGAAGGCTGGAGATATCATCGGGACCCTGAGTGGCTTCTTCACCATTATCAATGGCATCTTTCTTCTACATGCTTTTAAAAACACTGACATTACCTGGAGTGACCTGACGTCCACTACACAGAAAGAGGTCCTCTCGCTGAATGGCAGTGAAGACAAATATGTCTTACTGGAGCACACAGAATATTCAACCCCAGGATACAATGACGACATTACTTTGTTTAGCAGGGTTGATGATCAAAATCTCTAGAAACCCCAAACTTTAGCCAATATAAGACACTTGGAGAGGACAAGAAATACCTGATTCTTGCGAGAACTATTAGGAAAGCAGGCATTTTTAAAGTTCTAACTAATAATTTAGGTGTGAACCTCACCCCACCAAAAGATCCTCAATTTTAGCCATCAAATTTAAGATGAAGGTTTGGAGCCTCCTCCAGAAGACTTCCAGTGGTTTTTGTTTCTACAAACTTGAAATATTCCCTGAGCACAAAAGAAGTTCAAGAGTTACATGAGCCTCTGAGTTGCTCTTCTGGTCACAGTATATTTGGCTCTGCCAGGTGGCTCTTCGTTTCTTTGGCTGCTATTCTTAGTAATTCGTAGATAAACTTAGCTATGTGCTGATAAGCAGAGTAGCAATCATCATTCTCTGATGAGTCATTGTTTCAAATTCTTAAAACTGAGAAGTGAGATCACTGATATTCTCCCCGCCCCTTCCATAACTTCTTTCTTTCTAAACTAGAGTGGTGTGCTGAAGCAAAAATAGGCCTGCTTTGGAAATCTGCTCCTTGGTGGGTTAGAAGGCACAAGACACACAGCCCATGAAGGGCTTATGAATTGTAACTCATTGGCAGATCATGAAAACTTACTACAAATTCAAAAGGGGAAAATGGAGGAAGGAGAGAAATACTTACGTGAAACACAGTGTTTTTTTCTTTTCACAAAAACAAATGCAAGTGATTACTTTCCAGGGTTCTTTTAACTCAAACCTGAACAACGTAAGACAAAATTGAGTTTCTGGAGATGACCAAATGATTTCAGCCGTGGAGTTCCTCATATTCACGTTGTCCCTTTTTCTTACTATCATCCCCAAGGTCATTTTTCCTGTTGACATAGAGATGTTTGTAAAGTCTATAAGTGTAAATTGGTACATTATTTTAAGATTATATTGTACACTTCGATTTTCCTCAAATGTCTAGTTCTCGAAGGGTAGGCTATTTGGAAACAATTAGAAAAATCTTTGTAAAAACCGAAATGAGTTATCATAATTGTTCCCTTGAAATTTGGTACTTTCATCCTTATTAAGAAAATTATAATTAGTTACTAACCTTTCCGAAAACATACATACCCTACCACAATAAGTGGTAGATTGTCTTCTTCTGTTGAATTTCATCCTGACCACGTTTTCTATACATTTTATTGATAAGTGCTTTGGGAGAATAGAAAAGGAAGGAAGTTAACTTCGTAGAAAACAAAATATTCAGACCTCAGGGACTACTACAGGAAAATACCTTTTGAATATTAAAACTTACATACAATTTTCAACAGGAATAACATTTTTGGTGGCCTTTAATGTGTATGGACAGATATCTTATCACTCAATGATTTCACGGGAAAGAAAGTACCTATTTCTAGACTAAACTTAATTCCATCAAAAGCAAAACAAAACTCCTAACTAAAAAGTTACGATATTGGGGGGGGAGAGGGGGGGGGAACAAAACCCTTCAGGTTGATTGGATTTTTCTGTTCCAACATCAGATGTTGTTATTTGTTTGTAATCTAGCTCAAGGATGGCCTGGGTCGTAATGTTAAGTTCTGTTATTTAGACTCTATTAAATGGACTTCAGCATTTTGGAGTTCTGTTAGTTAGGACTAATGTTCCCAGGGATGTCCGGAGAGGAATGTGAAGTTGTAAAGGGCCATCATCATCTCTTCAGCACTTCTCAGTGTTGAGTGCAACTCAGTGCTTTCTAATTTTTGAAAACTGATAATCCATGGAAGACACATGGGTTGATACCTCAGGTCAAGTACATGTTTACTCTGTTGATTGCTGTTTCACTTTAATTGTATACCAGATGTATAAGCTATGAACAGAAAAAGTATTTTCTGAAAAGGTAGTGTTTAAAACTTGTAGAAATTCTTTTAAAGTTTTTTTCTTCCCCTGTTGAAAAACTCTCTTGGTTTATCCAAGGCACTTTCTTAGTGAGCAAATGCAGGACATCCACCCCAAGGCCGTGGTGGTTCTCTGTTCTAGTGAAATTCAGTGTCAGGTATTTCTTATACGTCACTTGTTAACAAAGTTTTGCCCTTGGTGTATTGTGGCCCGGCTAAAGGTTCACAGAACACAAGAACTCATGTGGATCTTGGATTGGAAACTGAACTGATATTAACACATACACCAGGAGAAAGGCTGAAAAAGATTTAACAAGTTGAAGTATGTTGAGAAACAATGAAATATTTTAAAACTCTTTAAAAAATCCCTGGCAGGTACATGCATCAAAAAACTAAAATGTTATTGCCAATCTAAAAGTCAGAATAATTTTTCCCAAGTAGGGAAATATTGTCTAAGAAGAAATAAAATGCTGGATCCCTATATTCAGACTATATTAGTCTTGACTGGTGGCTTCATATAGGTACATATCTTAATGTTTATACATTATCTCACATAGATATCTTAAGATTAATTATATAACTATCTGCACATGGGTCATTAAGGATTACAAAGCTGTCTTCACGCAGCCAAACTGAAAGCTTTTCCATAATTCTGTTTCATTCATTCATTCAGTTCATTCGTATAATAGTTTCATTTTATTTTTTGACTCGTAATTTTATTCTTAAGAGGAAATGTCTAATGACTTTATTTTTAGTTCAGATTGCAGAATGTTTATAAGACCCTTTAGATTTAGCAGGACAAAGTTAAATTAATGCCTTTGTGTTTTAAGAGTATTAAATGAAATACTTGGAAAACACCCTTCATCATGCCTGATATAAGAATTTATTTCTCTTTGAATCCACATTTTGATTCTTATAGTCTTATTATCAGATAGGTAAGTACCATTTATTGCCAATTGTCATACATTCTTCGTCTTTTCTTAATATGTGTCACATTAGCTAATTTTAAATGATCCAAATGAAAATGAATTCCATCATTATACTATCTCAACACCATTACAAAATTATTCCAACAAGAATATTTTTTCTTAAAGCCGATAAAACTGAACTAAATGCACCATTCACATTCTAACAGAACTTTGTGGAAAAGCAATTTGTATGACTATATATGAAATGTTCTCAAATATTTTGAATAAACTCTATAGTCCTGAAATTTTCTATTTTTCAAATGTTTATACATACTGTTCATTTTAGGAAGTTTACAAATTTTAAATGAATGTTTCTGTATATTTTTCATTTGCAATAAAATGCATTTTAATTATGTGTGTTGGGATTCAATTTTTAGTTAATCGAAGTTAAGTGTATTTAATGGCATAAATATCCCCATTTAGATTTGAGACTGTTTTTCAAGTTTTGACGTTAAAAGAAAAATCTGCACTTAGGTTAACTTTGCTTTGGCATTTTCCTTGAAATTGAAGCCTGTTTTTTAAATGAAGAAGGATGGGGCGCCTGGGTGGCTCAGTCGGCTAAGCATCTGACTTCGGCTCAGGTCATGATCTCACAGTTGATGGGTTCGAGCCCTGTATCAGGCTCTGTGCTGACAGCTTGCTCAGTCTGGAGCCTGCTTCTGATTCTGTATTTCCCTCTCTCTCTGACTCTCCCCTGCTCATGCTGTCTCTCTCTCTCTCAAAAATAAATAAAACATTAAGAAAATAAAAGAAGAAGGATCTCCATAAAACCATTTCCTGTATCATTGATTTGGCACCAGCACCAAAAGTAGGAGAAACGGTCTTATCATTTAATGACAGCATTGAACAAGATAGGAGTACAAAGCAGTCACTGTAATGACATCTCAGTTCAGAAGTTTAAAAGGAGAAAGCATTTAAAAAATACTTGGTAGCAGTCCATTATATTAAATTCACATTTGCGAACTCTGCAAATTGAAGAAACAGAGGAAGAGGGAGAAAGCATTGTAAAAATAGTTTGGTAGCAGTGCATTACACTAAAATTTACATTTACAAACCCTCAGCGCATTTCCTTCTGGCCCCCGTGGGACTAAATCTTTGTTTCAGGGGAGTGCCTGCCTGACAGTCCAAAGAGCAAGTAACTCTTGATCCCTGCGTCCGGAGCTTGAGCCCCAGGTTTGGAATAGTTTACTGAAAACATTTTATTTTCATGTATTGACCACATCACTATGACTTGATCAGTTTTCCCTATTTTGATTTGAACTCATGTTTGAGAACCACTCTCTCAGTTGTTTCTATGGAAATGAATTGTCTAGGATACAAAAGGCCCCCTTTTTCCCGCCATTGTAAAAGTAAAGAAACAGAAATAATATGCAATCCCTTAAATCACTTGGTTACCAACACCCCAAACTACTCAATCCACTGAATGTATGCTTTCCTAAGGAAGGCTTGGTGGAGTCGATCCTGTGTAGAAACGTCGGATCTCAGAGGTTAGAACACATTTTTCACAGCAAGCAGTGTTTGTCGTCATCAACCATTTCAGCATCCTGGCTGTGGTGTATAGGAAGCCTCTAAGAGGTAAGCATGGGTTACAAAGAGGATTAAGTTTTATTTATAACAGTGAGCAACATATTTTTCCTGACTGAAAGCTTTGATGGGTTGCAAAAAACAACAAAAAGCCTTTTGAGGGAGCTGATTGCCTGAGCCACCCTTTCACCCCGTCAGTTACAAATCATGAAAAACCTTTCTTCTGGAGGGAAAACTATCTCTATCAATGCCATCATTAGTTGAATTAGAAGGCATTTGAGTTTCTTTTTATGTAGAACTTCTCCTGTGGCTGAGGGGAGAGTAGAATTTTTGCTGGCCAAGCTCTACGAGCCTCACGAGCTTTTCCAGCCCTCAGAAGACAAGTCCTCACACCAGTTTTCTGTACTGGCACACTCAAAAGATCATGCGGACCTCCCTCCCACGCAGCCCTGTGCAGGCCCCTGCGCACAGGGCTGTGTGGGAGGGAGGTCCGCATGATCTTTTGAGTGTGCCATAACTACTTGACTGGGGCAGGGGGAAGAAGCAGATACACAGAGTTGGTGGTATAGATAAAGGAGCCATGCTCTGAATACCACTCCCAGAATCCCCTCCCATTTTCTGCCTTCCGTGATCCAGCCAGTAAAACCTGACTGCTATTAAACAGCATCAACTCTGCCCCAGAAGCTTGTGGACTGCTTTGCAAATGCCTCCTCCAGGAACGCATGGACCACAGAAAGCAAATTCATCTCTGTGGAGAAAGTCTCTGGATCTCCCTTAGAATAGATCCTGGGTAATGACATGTGGCTCCTCCTAGAGTTAAATGCATCTAACAATCATCCAGGTAGTACACTCAAAGAGATCCACTGTCTAAGCTCAACAAAACACATTGTTTCCTAGATCAGGAATGGGCAAGACAGCCCTCTGACTCAGAAAGTCTCTCTCTCTCTGTCAATTAGCTATTGCCTGTGTTTTTACCATTAACATCTCATCATATCGCTGCAAGAGTTTTAAATAAAATACATTTGAATAAAAGAGATTACTCTTCTCCTTAACTCATGAAACTATAAAGCTGGGTTATAATGGGCAAGCCTTAGAAAAGACAGAAAAATTCCTATTGGTAGAGTAGGGTTTTATTTATAATTACCTTACTTGAACTTAATTCCTTCTGAGTAGTCTTGCATGCACAGGGAAAAAAAGGGCAAGTCTTTCTACCAGTTTTGAGAGGCTGCTTTCAGGATCACAGTATGTAGATTTTGAAATGAAGCGATCCAATCTTTTCAGAAAGTACTGAGACAGACACTGGGCAAGGGA